TTTTACTGAATGTATTTTTTTCTGGATGCGCTTGACGCAGAGATACGGTGATGAACGGCGTCGAAGGTAACGGAAACGTTTTCGGTGCTGCGCCGGGGTACGGAGCGGTTGCACCTCTGTTGAGGACGGCGGCGGGATTGGAGAGTGTCGTTCCGATCTACGGCTCGGCGGTCTCCGGAGGCGCTTTTATGGTGAAAACGCAGGCGGTGAAATCCGACAGCGGTCTGACCAGTGTTCCGGTCTCGAGAAAACGGCCGCGGGAGGCGATTGGCACTCTGCTATCGTCGTTCCCGGGCGGCGCCTTTGAAAATCAGAGCGTGATTAACCGTTGCAGTGGTTTTACCTTCCTCGGCGAGGATATTTCGTTTCAGATTCAACAGCAGCAACTTGAAATCGATCGGTTTATCGCTCACCACGTAAGTGTTAAAATCGCTTGATTGAAAAATTTCCCCCCCTTTTTTGTTTCAGTTTTTTGGGTTTTGGCGCAGTTTATTGATAACGCGTTGGATGAATTTATCGATGCAGACTGCGAAGGTGAGGATGGAAGTCGAGGAGCGGCGGAAGAGATATGCGCGGCGGATCGCGGCGGCGGCGGAGGAGACCGTTCTGAAGCGACTGAAGGCCAAGGAGGCGGAAATCGAGAAGATCGGAAAGCTCAACCACGCGCTCGAGGAGCGGTTGAAATCCCTCTGCGTCGAGAATCAGATATGGCGGGACCTGGCTCAGACGAACGAGGCGACGGCGAACGCCCTGAGGTCCGATCTGGAGCAGGTCATTACCCGGGCACAGGACGACCGTCACCGCCGTCAAGACGACGCGGCGGACGACGCCAGCTCCTGCTGCGGCAGCAACCACGACGATGAGGCGTTCCCGACCGCCTCTGCCAACGGCGGCGACGGGCGTGCAACCTCGAAGAACCGGATGTGCCGGAGCTGCGGGAGCGACGAATCGTGTGTGCTGCTGTTGCCGTGCAGGCATCTGTGCCTCTGTACCTTCTGCGGGTCCACGCTCCACACATGCCCCGTCTGCTACGCTACCAAAACCGCCAGCGTCCACGTTAACCTCTCCTCTTAAGAAAAAAAGGAGTTGGTTGAGATTCTAATTTTCCAAAAAACGAAACCGAAATCAATCAAAAGGATTGCGAAAGGAAAAAAAGGGAAATTGTTGCGCGAATTTAGTTTTTACGTATAGATTATGCCTTATCTGTTTTTTCGTGTCATCTTTTAAATCTATTAATTAATTAATTATTAGTCGTTAATTGACTCCGATTTTTTTGCTCCGGCCTCAAAATATGGCGTGGTGACGGTTGGTGTCGGCGCGTGCATATCAGTCGCCGGGTGTTGGGATTGTGGGGGTGTGGGAGGGGTGAAAGGGACATGTAAAGAGCGTAGGCTGACACGTAGGACTCGCGCAAATGTCGCTATTGCGGTGAAAAAAGAAAAAGTGGTTTTGATACACCCCACTATTAAAGCATAGTCATGTACGAACTGTGTATAATTGCACTGATGCGCACGACAGAGAAAGGACTGTGAACCGCTGACATGACACGAGGATCGTGCCTCAGTGCAATTCCCGCCCGAAAGCAATTTACCGCGGCGAGATTTAAAAAGTACGGTAAAATATCGTATCGAAAATTGGGCATTGTGTTGTCTAAAGCGGCAAATTTTGCACCATACTGATGAGTCTATTAATGAATGACTTGCGCATTGACCTCATCAAACTATGCTTCTTTTTTAGTTTCAGATTTGCCAAAGCAGCATATGTTGATCGAGGCGTAGTTTGATTCAATTGCAGAAAAAAGACATACGTTCGAAAACAGATTAAATTTAGTTTGAGTTCGGATCAAAGTTTATAATTAGAAAATATCTAACGAGAGACATGTAAATCATTCTGAGGACGTTCGGGTGACCTGATGGGTGCTAGATATGATTACAGTCAAACTCGAGCTTGGGTTGGGAATCGACTCGAGATCTCACGAGTTGCTCAATTAGTTTGTAGCCCTTGTTGACCATGAAACTTGTCACTACTCTTGAACAAACTCGTCCCCAACCCCACTAAAGAGTTTGCCATTCCAAAGCCACCCTATCAGCTCTAACGATATCCGCAGCCTTTGGGGTTCCCCAGCTCAAGACGAGCCACACAAAAATGTTACGACTCCAGCGACGTGATGCTCCTCTCTATGTTAAACAAAAATTGTGGCGTCTAAGTTTCGTCTAGAGCCTAATTCACTTCTTAAAACAGAACTAATTGTGAAATATGGTGAAGCGTAATACCCCGTAGGGCCGCATACCTTTGTTAATATAGTAGGCAATGCCTTGAGTTACAAGTTAGGTTACAATGGTAATCTTGGTTGAATAAGAAAATATCTATACTTTCCTATCACGTTACCGCAATCAACTCTATCTCTATGTTACAAGGTTTAACACCCTCCCTCAATTTTAACCGCCGAGGTTAAGATTGTTTCTAAATATTTGTAACTGCTGAACTGGAAGGGGTTTAGTAAAACCATCTGCAATTTGATCTCCGGTTGGTACGAACTGAATCGAGAGCAACTTCTGAGCTACTCTTTCTCTTACGAAGTGATAGTCAACTTCAATATGTTTTGTTCGTCCATGAAACACCGGATTCACTGATAGATATGTGGCGCCTATATTATCACACCACAGCCTTGCAGCCTTTGGAGAATGAATGCCTATTTCTTCAAGTAACTTCTGTATCCACATTATTTCAGCTGTCGCATTTGCCACAGCTTTATATTCAGCCTCGGTTGAAGACCTGGAAACCGTGGCTTGCTTTCTGGCACTCCACGAGATGAGGTTTGATCCTAAGAATATGGCAAACCCTCCTGTTGACCTTCTATCATCCAAGCAACCGGCCCAATCAGCATCTGAGAAACCCGTGACAAGTGTTGATAGTGACTTGTTTATTCGGAGACCATCTCGAGATGTATAATTCAAGTACCTCAGTATGCGTTTCACAGCAGTGAAGTGAACGGTGGTTGGTGAATGAAGATACTGACATACCTTGTTGACCGAGAAGGCTATATCTGGACGTGTGAGTGTTACATACTGCAAGGCACCCACCATGCTTCTATACTTGGTGGAATCATCAGGACCGAGAACATCCCCTTCATTTCTGGATATTTTCTCCGAGGTTGACATGGGTGTATTCACATGTTTACAATTTGTCATTCCTGCTCTCTTTAATAAGTCTCTGATGTACTTCTCTTGTGACAACACAATGCCACTACTTGTTTTCTTAACTTCAATTCCCAGGAAGTAATGCAGCTCACCCAAATCCTTGAGTGCAAAGTCAGCTGTTAGATTATGTAATAATGCATGTGTTGCTTCCTCTGAAGAGCTCACAACTATAATGTCATCCACATAAACAAGAAGGAACATGACAATGCCCTTAATTGCATAGTAGAACAAAGAGATATCTGCCTTTGATGAATAAAACCCAAGGGAGTGCAACTTTGTACTCAACCGAGAAAACCAAGCCCGAGGTGCTTGTTTTAGACCATATAACGCCTTGTCTAGCTTACACACATAATGAGGTTTTGTTTTATCTTCATATCCAGGTGGCTGCTTCATATAAACTTCTTCCTCAAGAACACCATGCAAGAACGCATTCTGCACATCTAGTTGACGAAGTGACCATCCTCTAGACACTGCTAATGATAAGATCAATCTGATGGTAGCTGCCTTAACTACGGGACTGAAGGTGTCCTCATAGTCTATACCATAACGTTGCTTAAAACCTTTTGCAACTAATCTGGCCTTATACCGATCTATGGACCCATCCGCTTTTCTTTTAATTTTATACACCCATTTGCAGTCAATAATATTGCTACCGGATGAAGGAGGAACTAAGTGCCATGTTTTATTCTTCATCAAAGCCATGTACTCACAATCCATTGCGTGTTTCCAATTCACATTACTAAGTGCTGCATGCAGATCATGAGGTTCATCAGCTGTAGCAAGAAAATTATACCTGACTGTACCATCAGTGTACTGTTTTGGCTTGTGAATCCCACTCTTGGATCTTGTGTGAGGCCGTTCTTCATCGGGTGCCACCTGATCGGCCACAGGCTGCTCATCCGCAGAAGACTCCACAGCAGCCGGTTCCGCAGACGACGTAGGCGCACGACCAGGTGACGTGCCGTGTTCCCCCGGGGGGCCGCTCGCTGCAGATCGCGTGGATGGTGGGGGAGACACGCGCGCAGAGGGCGACCCGATGGCCGTAGCTGGTTGGCGCGCGGACGAGTTTGGTGCGGCCCCTGGATACGCGTCCGTTCCCGAGGATGATGCAGCAGTTGTCGAGGTAGTTGCTGCCGGCAGATCAACCTCGGTGACGGTGCCGTCGTGCGGCGATACCGGATGTGCGTCGCCTGGCTCCGTCGCTGCATCAATTGACTCTAAATTTTCTGCATTGTCATAAGAGGGATTAGAAGCATATGTAGGGTTAGTAATCACATGGTCAGGGGCTGTTATAATCCCAGTCGCAGGCTGGAGAGAATGAGGCAGCAAAAGGACTTCGGAGCGAAGGCGGGGGCCAGCATTTGGTTGAAGATCAGTGAACGGGAAGATGTTTTCATCAAAGACTACATCGCGAGATATATAGAGGCGTCCACTAGAAAGATCAAGGCATTTATAGCCTTTGTGCTGTGTGCTATACCCAAGGAACACGCAGCGTTTTGATCGAAACTCAAGTTTTCGTGTGTTATAGGGGCGGAGATGGGGACAACAAGCACAACCAAACGTACGCAGAGCGGAGTAATCAGGTTTTGCATGAAAGAGAACTTCAAGTGGAGAGCGATAATCCAAAAGTTTTGTTGGGATGCGATTAATAAGATACGTGGCAGAGGTGAAAGCTTCGTCCCAATACTTAAGAGGCATTTGAGCATGAGCAAGAAGAGACAAGCCAACTTCAACAATGTGCCGATGCTTTCGCTCGGCGGCACCGTTTTGTTGATGCGCATGGGGACATGACACAAGATGCGTAATACCAACTTGTTTGAAAAAGGACGTAAGGCCTTCATATTCACCACCCCAATCGGACTGAAGGGAAATAATTTTACTATTGAAAAGTCGCTCAACAAGGCATTGGAACTCACGAAAACAATGAAAAACATCAGATTTTTGTCGAAGCAAATAGATCCAAGTAAATTTACTGAAGTCATCAATGAAGCTTACATAATACTTTTTCTTCCCGAAAGATTCAGGGGCTGGACCCCATACATCAGAGAAAATAAGTTGTAATGGTGCATTAGATCTACTGACAGATGTGGGGTATGGTAATTGATGACTTTTCGCTTGCTGACAAGCATCACACACTGCATCTGAACTACGTTCACTATCTGAACAGGGCAAATTATTTGAGGCAATGACACGACGAACAATGGGTAATGAGGCATGACCTAATCTCCTATGCCACCTCTCAGGAGATGGCTTTATTGCACTGAACACTTGACGCCGAAAAAACTCTAAATTCGTAGGAAAAGGATAGAGTCCGCCTCTACATCTGCCGCTGAGAAGGATTTTCCTCGTTGCTATGTCCTTGACAAAGAAAAACCAAGGATGAAACTCAAGAAAAACTTTGTTATCAAGAGCAAAGCGATGAACAGATACTAGGTTTTTACATGCCTCAGGAACATGAAGAACATTGTTAAGGAGCAAATTGCGACCAGGAGTAGTAACTGTAGCTTGACCAATGTGATTAATAGCCATACCTGCTCCATTAGCTGTTTTGATCTGATCATTGCCCTGATATGCATCATGCATTGAGAGCTGGTTCAGGTTTGGGGTGATGTGGTCGGTGGCGCCCGTGTCGGTGTACCAGTTGGAGTCGACGCCGTAGTTGTTCATGGCCGCAGCAGCGCTCCTTCCATCAGGTACATACTCCGGATCAAATCTGTACCAGCACTCAAGTGCGGTATGGCCTTTGCCACACACTTGGCACTTAGGCTTGGGTGGTCGATTTCCCTGGTTGTAGCCTCCACGGTGACCTCCTGGACCACCGCGTCCAGAGCCGCCGCCTCGGCCCTGGTTGAAGTTGCTGTGGTTAGTCTGTCCACCACGGCCTTGGTTGTAGCCGCCACGTCCTCGAGGAAAGCCTCGCCCCCCACCACGACCGCGGGAGGCAGCGTTTGCAGAAGCTTGACCTAGCTGAAGCATCTCTTGGCGATGGTCGAAGGAGACAAGCTGGGTGTAAAGCTCATTCACGGTGATTGGCTCAACACGAGCAACCACGGCGGAAACCACCGAGTTGTACTCGTAGTCAAGTCCAGCGAGGATGTAGCTGACAATTTCTTCTTCATCTAGCGGCTTTCCAGCAGCCGCCATGTCGGAGGTGAGAGTCTTCATCTTGTTGAAGTATTCGGACATGGACATGTCGCCCTTCTTCGTAGTCGTCAAGGCAATGCGAGTGTTCACAGACCTCGCACGGGTCCGGGATGCGTACATCTCCGTGATCCCTGTCCATAGCTCAGCCGCCGAGTTTTTGTCGGCGACTTGAGTCAAGATCTCCGTCGTGAGCGAGGTAAGCAGATAGCTTACTACTTGCTGATCACGCGCGATCCACTTGGCGTATTCTTCATTGATCTTCTTTACGGGTTTGCTGTCGACGATGATGTCGACTTCTTTTGGTGGCGCCGGCTCGGTACCGAAGATGAAGCCTTCAAGTTGTGCGCCTCGGATGGCCGGCATGACCTGCGCCTTCCATAGAGGAAAATTGCCCTTGTGCAGCTTCTCCGTGATCGGGAGCGACAGAGGGGCAGCGATCGTGGTGGCGCTAGAGGATGGAGTCGTCATTAGATCTAGATGAGGTGAGGATAGGCTCTTGATACCATGTGAAATATGGTGAAGCGTAATACCCCGTAGGGCCGCATACCTTTGTTAATATAGTAGGCAATGCCTTGAGTTACAAGTTAGGTTACAATGGTAATCTTGGTTGAATAAG